TCCTTTGGCTCGTGTTTAAAAAAAAGTTATGCTTAGGACAACAGTTTGGTACCAGGCCTACATTGTGTCCATTTTTAATACAATGAGATAAACTCCCATATTTCCATTCCAAACCCAGTCTTTCCCTCACCGATTAATGCAATTCCTGATTAAGTGGGGGAAAGGGGAGTAACCTACATTCACCTACGAGGGGGGACATACCTACGTTCACCTATCTCCATGCTGATTGTTTGTCAATGAACCCTACTTCAAGAGTACAAGCAAGAAGAATCAACAAGGTCCTGGGGTCTGATTCTTGTCTTGATTATTCTTATAACTCTGATAAAGCTTTCAACCTCTCTGTGACTCAGTTCCCCAACCTGGAAATACCAGCAGCTTCTTTGCATGGGGATTGGGAAGACTTACTAGTGCTTGCAGACATCTTTGGAATCTTTTAACAAAAAAATGCAAACCAAATTCACAGCTCCACCCAACCTTTCCCATCAACTAACATAAGAACCCACCCAGACTTTGGTAGCACTTTGCTGAGATATGGATTTTGAAAATCCATATTTGAGGTTACAGATAGCCGGCATTTTCTTTACTACCTGTACCATCATTATTCAAAGAAAAAACAGCCACTCGCATATGGTGCACTGTCTTACCCCAGAAGTCTTATTCTCTGTGTTTTTCCGTAGCCTTCCTTCCCACCCTCCATATTCATTGCCTGCCAGCTGTCACTGGTGTCCTATGTGATCAATTTAGAGGAAAGCTATTAGGATGACAATGATGCTGTTAGCACTTGTAAAATTGCATCGACTGAAGTTGCCTTCATCGTTTAAAATAATGCAGTTGAAATAATGTTATATTTTTTTCCTAGAAGGATTCTGTGAGGTTTTTCTTTCCAAGAAAATCCTTGACTCTCCCATAGGAGATGCTCACAGTCATTAAAAAGCAAAGGCTGCAGCTACCATATTTTCACATATAACTTTCCTAAGCCCAGCATTTTGTGTTATGGGGTTTGCACAGTAAAATGTTCATGGTATGCTAGGCTGAAGGATTACTCTTACTGTGAGGGACATATTTGTGCTATAACACAACCTTACTATTAACTTAATCTTCAAATACTACAAATCCTATTATTTTTTTTCTAAATAGAAGTTATCCACTCTGCCTCCTGGTGCAGTCAGCATAAAATTCAAGGATACAGACACGTCCTTTAAAAATGCATTTAACGGACATTCATAAGAAACATCACATTTTACACAGCAGGGAAGACAGGCAAGCTATGAAGTTATGAATGACCTTAAGGCATGAATGACCTTAGCAGTGCCTTCCCCTTCTGTCTTATCCCTGTTAAGTGGAACAGGCTCTTCCAAGTTATATATTTTCTAATCATTTGTTTCAAAAGGCAAAGATAGATTTCTACCTATCTTTAATTCCAATTTAACACTGAGCTTTTGGATTCTTCAGAATTTTTTGCCTGGGGATTGAAAGGCCAAAAAGGCACTATTACAAATTGTATTTTTTTCTGTTTATTTTAAGGGTGAGAGAAAAGCTATTGTAGGAAGGAAAGGTCTTCCAGCAATAGCAGTATGAGCGACCCCCTCCTTACCCGTGTGCTATGAAGTCAGAAAAGCTGTGGGAGACTGAGCAGAATACCATTCAGGTTCTAGTTCCATTGGATAGAGCCAGCTAAACAGAGCCTTCAAAATTATTTATTATATGTAGTGATATCCTATTATGGGTATTTCCCATGCTTCTGAGTTTTGCTGGTTGCTACATGAACCTGGGAGGGAATTCTGCTACCCATTCCCCCCATGCCGTTGCTACAACATGGCAGGGGGTAGATTTTTAAGCCTTTCTCAGAGGCATTGGGTGTTGGCCGCAGCCAAGGTTCAGGATCTTGACTAGGATGTGCTGAGGATCTTGACTAGGATCTGCTGAGACTTAAAGCTGAAGGTTCTTGGCTGGAGGGTCTTGCCCCTGCCCTCAGGGTCAGACTGAGCACTATATTTGGGGTCAGGAAGGCATTTTACCTTATAGTCAGATTGGTACAGACAGTGGGAGGTTTTGCCTTCCTCTGTAGCAAAAGACATAGCCCTCTACCTGAGAATCACTTGAACATATGTTAACCTTTTACAGAAACAGGTTGCTGTGGCCCCCCTGCTTTACCTGTGGCAGGTTAAGGTGTTATGCCTTGACTGTTGTTTTACTAAGAGGTTAGATCATGGATTCGTATAGGATGCTTTGAATAGGGATGATTCTATCTCAGGCAGGTGGTTTGGCTTAGATGAGCTATAGAGGTCCTTTCCAGCCCTTCTTCTCTATGATTCCATGAAGGCAGAGACAGAACTAGAGTAGATGCCATTTCTAAGACTGGCACTTAAAAAAAAATCCCTTTTATTTATAATTTGAGTCCAAGGGTTTTGGACTCACTGAAAGAGATTCCCACATGGTGCATTTTGCCATCACTCTCTGAGCCTGTCAGGCTGGGGTCAGGATGAAGCAATATTCATTTATGCAAGACAAAATTGCCAGATGACCCCTGCTGCTGCTATGGATTTATATGATATATATTTTTAATTTAAGTTTGTAGCCTTTTTATGATTAATGTTTCTAATGTGACCCAACTACAGGGCTGTTGAAAGCTGCTGGCAACCAAGTCATTTCAGGGGGGAGTCATTTCAGGCTGCCCCTTGAATTGCTGTGTGATAACTAAAGGCTGGATTTTCAAGCAGTCAAGAATAGTTTACGGCACTTACATTCTTTGGTGTCCAAACAGCTACTAGAAACTGGTTTTAAGAAAGCAAAGAGCACCCACTCTCTGAAAAATAAGATCCTTTGCAGTATCTTATGTTAAGCCCCCAAATATGAAGGCACAAATAATCACTAGTCAATTCCAAAAATGTTACTTTCTCCTTTCTTCTCTCCCTTTCCCTAAACCTACGGATAAGTGACTTAACTGACAAGTTCTAAGGACACCAATGCCCTCCATTGGTCCCACTGAGAAACGTTTAACTGGGGAAAGAGGATTTGGTATTAAAAGTTGTTATCCCAAATAACTGAGTTTAACAGACTGACTGCCTTTCATTCCACTCCCTACTTGAAGCTGTAGCTGGAATCTGAATTGGAATGCCAAAGCCTAACCCCCTCAAAGTTAGGGGAAAAAACATGATCTGGATCGCAGATGAAAACTGAACTTGGACTCCACTTTTTCAATAAGCCTATCCATACCAAACCTCCCCTGTGTCCTTGTTTCCCTCAGACACATACAGATAAATGGAGAGAGAGAGAGAGAGGAACTGCTTCAGCTCAATAATTTCTTGCGGTGGCTAACATGTGCACCACTTCCCAGCAGAGAAGAATAGGTTAAAAATTGTTAAGCTCTCAGTCCTGGGACTTTAATACCAAGCACATTTTCAAATTTCTGTGGCTGCCTAATGATATGCAGCTAGGTGGGACTTTTCAAAAAAATCACTTAAGCCCGTATATACGCAGTTAAACAAATGGCCCAATTTTCAGATGCACTGGGCAACCATGATTTTCAAAGCTGTAATAAAAATTAAATTGAATCAAAGCTTCAAGTGTATAGCCCCCTGAAAAAAAAATCAAGCTGCTTAACTTAAGAGACTGGGTATAGTTTTATGTACCTAATTTTATGCAACCATATTTGAAAATATTTGTCTTAGTTTTTTAGGAAGTTGACAGGCTTAAAAATTGTGTGGGGTCACTGAGAACAGGAAGAGTGGGCAAATGGACTGGATAGTTTAAGGTTTTTATGTTTATTTCACCAATAGATAGACGAGTATCTATTGAAAAAAACTCTTTTCAGTTCCTTGTTAGGTTCACAATAAAACTGACAATCGTCATACATCACCTAGTAATTCAACAATATATTTTTCAGACCTACACTGGCAGTTAGGGACCACAGCCTCATCATAGATCTCACCTTCCCATCTTACCTGGAAAAATGCTGGCCAGTTGCCATTTTCAAAGCAAAAGACCTCTCTGCTAGGGCTCTCCAAACCCATTTTATTATCTCTCCTGCTGTGCCTTAATGGATGACTTCAGCTCATCACAACCATGGAAAGGTCTTAGTCAGAACGTGTACGAGAAAAACAATGTAAATGGTGATGAATGGGACTTTTTACCATCTTGTACCATCTATACTTTTCCCAGAGCCTGCCGAAGGGACTTTGATCCTGAACGCATGCAAAAAAGGACAATTTTCTTGTGATTTCCGAGTTGGTCTAATACAAGGTATCAGTTCTAGTTCTAACTTTTAGTAGGAGTTAAAAGCATTTCCCTAGTGAATTAAACAGGAGAGCGGATACTGCCACCTACAGGTCATGTGTGTGTTTAACAGTTACCAGTGAAAAAAATCCTATTGATGTTAAAGACGTATGAAATGGCTGCACCCTTTACTTATGAAAAGGCATGTTTTAAAATGGTACTTAATGATAATTTCCAAACACGCATCTTGTTAATATCACAAGCCCTAAGGAAACTTTCAGGGAAGGTGCTATCAGACAGTGTTCTCAGTAAGGACCCTACTTCAGACCCCAGAGGGATGAGTATTTATGAAGCTAGCATCTGAGCTTTTCCTGAGTGCAAGGTGGAGTGATGGATGATTTGTGAATTCCTGCCTGCAGTCATCTCTAGTCCCCATGAGAACTGTGCATAATTTGGGCTATCAAATTCCAAATTGGGCAAGGTGCTTCGGGTTTCTCCACAATCCAAGCGGTGCCTTGGAGGATGCTTCAAAGCCTTGCAGGGTGGTGGTTGCTGAAACATGAGACACTTTCACTTTGGACAAGTTTCATTTTGAGCTCTGAGATGTGTTTCACACTGACTGTCGGTATCAGAGCCAAAGCAGAGACTGGCATGGGCCTGTATGAACAGATACCTTTTGCCTGGCTCTGCTGAAGTGACTCTCAGGAGTGCAAAGTGGAAGGCAGGGGATGGATTCTGGAAATTAAGATTCCACAAGAAGTCACCAGGAGACGCTGAAGCAAGATTTATCTATTTTATTAGAAAACCAACAATAACCAGATGCCTTTCAGCCTAACAAACAATGCTGTAGACAAGACCACTGGGAGATGTTCTATACCACATTTCTCCTGGGCTTAGAATATTACCTCCCTGCCCCCTTACCTTCAGGAGTGTTGAAACCAAATATCCTCCATGTGAGGGGATTCCCACCCTAAATCAAAGACAGTTTGTCTTCTCCATTGTGTTAGTCAGGACCAGCAAACAAGGAAGGATTTCTCCCTCCAACAGGAACAGGGCTGCTGACAGATGACATTGTGCGTGACACCTGGTTTCTTCACCTTTGTCCCAGCTGCTTCCACCACTTATTCATGGTAATGAACAGAATCAGGAAGATTCACAATGGTGGAAGCAACATGTATGAATTCTGTTTCTCCAGATAATTACATGACCGTATTGATCTCTGTTGACTCCTACTGGTACACACAAGAGCAGGACTTGTCCTCACACTTCTAGATAAGAATGTGTTTGATGACACCTGCCCTATAGCCCTGGATGCCAGAAGGTTTTCTGGTGGGAAGAGTGGTGGTGGTAGTGACGTGAGGTGTTTCATAAGGTCCATAGTTCCATCTTGCTTGGTATCCTGTCACACAGTGGCAGAGGTTCGGTGCTGAAAGGGAGAGAGTGAACCAGGGTTTTTCCCCTGTTCCTCTCCCACTTGCAGCTTCCAGCCTTTAAGGTCCAGGAAGCTCCAATTCAGAGGCTATACCCCCCTAACTCCCAAGCACAATAGCTACTGATGCACCTTTCCTCCAAGAATTTTTCCAATCTCTTTTTGAATCTGGCTACATTGTCAGCTTCCACAACATCTGGTGGCAAATGAGTTCCACGCTTTAATTACACTGGGTGTGAAAAAACCCTCTTTTGTTAGTTTTAAACCTACGACCTACTAGTTTCATTTTATGACCCCTAGTTCCTGTATTATGAGAGAGAGTAAATAATAAATCCTGTTTACTTTCTCTTCATCACTTAGCATTTTGTAAACCCTTATCACGTCCTCTTTCAAGTGCCTCTTTTCTAAAACAAATATGCCCAGCATCTTTAGTCTCCCCTTCAAACCATTAATCATCCTTGTTGCTCTTCTCTGAACCTTCTCTAGTTCTTCTATATCCTTTTTGAGGTGTGGGAACCAAAACTGGGCCCAGTATTCAAGGAGTGCACGTCCCATGGATTTATAAATGGGCATAATGATACTTTGTATTGTTTACAATTCCCTTCTTAATGATCCCTAAATGTTTGGCTTTTGACATCTGCTGAGCACTGAGCTCATGTTTTCAGCAAGCTGTCCACAATGACTCCCAGATCCTATGGTAACAGCTACACCACAGCCCATCATAATGCATGTATAATTCAGGTTATTTCCCAGTGTGCATCACTCTACACTTAATCTACATTGAATTTCATCTGCCATTTAATTGCCCATTCACTCATAAGTGTAAAATCCTTTTGTATTTCTCACAGCCCACCTTGGTCTTTACTACTTTGAATAATTTTGTGTCATCCATGAATCTGGCCATCTCACTACTTGCCCCCTTTTCCAGATCATTTATGAATGTGTTAAAATAGTACTGGTACCAACACAGATCCCTAGGGGACCCTACTGTTCACCCTCTTTCCATCCCCAAAACTGTCCAGTTATACTCACTCTTTTTTTTTTCTCTCATCCTCAAGCCAATTTCTAGTCCATGAGTGGGCCTTCCCTGTAATCCCATGACTACCTAACTTCATTAACAGCCTCTAGTTTCAGTCTTGGGAGAACCTGCTGTCATTAGCATCATAATTCCACAGGGAGTTTCAGCCACTGTGTACCTTTGAGTTGGACAACTCTATGACCATGGTTTATGCTACAAAACCAGAATATTCTGTATGACCTTCTAACATATGCAGTCACCAGAACTCCTGAATCACTTAGGAGCCTCAAGTCCGCATAACCATCCAACACAGAGGCAATACAAAAGACTATTTTGGGACCTTCCCCGAAGACAGTAACTTAGGGTACTAGGCCCTATTCTCCAACTATGGAAGGGGAGGCTATTTACTTCTCAGTTCCCTTTCTATGGGGCAATCCTGGCAGAAGGCTACATGTAGGGTCTAACTGAGACTGAGGCTGATCCATTTAGCCAACAACCACTTGGCTTTTTTGAAGAGCTGCCCAAAGCTGTCAGCTTGTGGAGGGAATGTGCACACACATTGCTTAAGCATCTCTTGGAAGGAAGGGAGGCAGGACTGACAACTGCAGTATTAGGGCTGCAGAAGGGGTGATATAGCAGTAAATCTGGCTGATTTAAATTCCCCAGCAGCAAATGAGTTTTAGCAAAGAAGTCCCAGTTACTAAGGCTCAATTTAACCATTTTTTTCTGCCCTGGGCAAGCAGGCAATGGCTATACTGAGCACCTCACCCCTTTTGCTGGGCACATCCTGCTCCCTGCAATTGCATGAGAGTATCCTATCCTATAGCCCTAGCATCAATATTTGGCCCTTGCTGGATACAGTACTAAATGACAACACCAGCCAGTCTATCATTCCTCAAGATACAGCACAACATTTTTACAAGGCTGGGCTTGTTCTTCATTCCTACTGCAAGATTAGTGGGGGGATATTGACATCTGTGATTATACACTGAACCAATTCCACTTAACACACTCATACACAAAATGCTTCTGTATAAAAAGGAAAAGCAAAGAGCAGAATGCAGACTTGCAGGCACAAAGCGGACATACGTTGCAGGTGACTTACAACAAAGCAGCCAGCAACGGGTAGGACTGTTTATGAAGCAAAAGCTTTTCCTTACAACACACCTGTGAGACTCGCACTTCACAAAGGTACTTGTTAAGGGTCCATTGGTTTGTTTTTTTAATCTAGACCAAATGCTTCAACCAGCTTCAAACCTACTCCCAAGCAGTGAGATCCCAAGTCCTGGAATCCAATGATTGTGACTGAGGAAGGCTCCATCTGGGCGTTTAAATGTGGTGCAAGTTTGCTGTGCTGGGGCATTGGGATGTTTAGGCTGTGACACTATTGTCACAAAGTGCTGTCATCTCAGGAAAAGGTGGACTTGCCATGTCACACAATCATATAACTAAGTAACATGGCCACAGTTTGTTACAAGGCCCCTCTGTCACACTGCAACACAATACTGTTGTGAAACAATGTTCCGCATGTAGCGCACAAGGCCATGGTACAATGCCTGGCATTGCCATCAATACCCATTTTGGGACACTGAAATGGTACTGCTATTATAGCTTTAACAGGATTTAAACCAGGGCAGGCTTCAAACCCAGATCCTATTAACAATATTGATGGCCACTCACCATTTCCTAATTGCTTGAGAGTTGGTTACAGATTCCCTTCATGTATAAGTAGGTGGAAGAGAGGATCACCATTCACCAAGTTAAATGCAACACCTCAGAAGCCTCATTGTGGGTAAAATGGCCAAAGTACTTAGGTAACTATCATCAGAGAGCTGTCCCCCATAATACTGAATGCAAACAACAGGTACCTAAGGGAAGTGCACCAGAACAGCATGTTACAGAGACAGAGGTTTAGGTGTCTGATAGCTGGGAGACTGCTGTGCCCCACTAAGGGTCAAGCAAACCAGAGATGCTCAAAGCAGGAATACACTGTTTCGCAGTAAGCTCTATGCTCCCACTCGCTTTTACACACAGTAGAGTGTCTAGGTGTCCCTGTCCCTCTGCAGAATTTACTGTTGTATCTGACTGTGAATAGCAGACAAAGATCTTGGCCAAAACATAACCAGTAGAAGCAGTCCCTTTGAAACCTCTGAAAGTAGTAGCCTAGCCAATCTGAGCCACTGCCACTGCTTTAGAGTGCACTATTAGCGCTTAAAACACCGATATTAGCAGGGCACAGAGAATGGGATAAGGTTATTGTGAGCCAATGCATCACCCTACTGAACAGGCAGGGAGCTATGGATTCACATCCTAGAAACACAGGGACCCATGGTTCTGCACAGGAATGACCAAAGCCTTCAGAATGAGAATAAGCCAAATGGCAGAGATGCCATTTATATTAACAAGGCACCCAGGGATTGGTCTCTTGCTGCATCTTTCTCATCTCTCCAGTGCCCGTCACTAGGCTGGCAGATGCTCCTGATGTGCACGGCAGAGCTACTTGATTTCTTGTCCTTCATATGGTTATAGGGGACATTCGTGGTCACTTTGGCACACATTAAGATAGACAGCGTCTCTCCTCACCCACTCTCCTGACACTACTGGGACCTGTAGTATGTTTTCCTGGCATTGGCAGCCTGCTGGTTCTCCTAGTGACCCTAGACATGGTATTGGTGCGGCATATCTTCCTTATGGCACAGTTGGGCTTCCCCCCCACAGTTCCCCTGCCCCTTCCACACTTAAGGGTGTTCATGTTTCAACCCCTCCCCCTGCTCACAAACAAACTCTTCTGCGATGCATTGACAGTTAAGCTGTAGCCGTACTCTCTCAGCAGCCCATGCCTGCAAGCTACAGAGGGCTCTCACCAACCATCGGAACTGGGGCTATTCAGTAACTCCCAGGAAGCACTTGGTACTCTGTAGGAACAACTTGGGAGCACTAGCTGGGCCAATATATTCACTTCTACATGCAGTGGGATACTTGAGAGATTGATGTGCAGCTGGCAGATGGATCAGTTGCTGAAATCAATGCCCTGTTGGAATCCAGTAATACAATGTGTTCCTTTAAGCTAACCTGAATAGCCTTAGAAATCAAAGGAAGGAACAGAACAGTGACTCCAACCCCTGTACAAGACAACTGTACAATTTACACATATATTTATATACAGTATATAAAAATCTCTTTCTCAAGTCCCATCAAACTTCAAAATTTAAGTTGTCAGTAGCTATTCCAATTAAAAAAAAGAAAAAAAAAAGTCATGCTCTTCCTGCCCCCTCCCCCCTCCCCTGCAGAGTATTAGATGGCATTAACAATAAATCAAAAACCAAACCAAGTATTAAAAAAAAAGTGCAAACATTCTGGGTGCCACTTCTGCTACGGTGGATATTGCTGCTCATGTGCTCACAAGCAGCAGGGTGTCTCTCCGTCCAGCTGTCCTTCCTTTGGGTTGGACCCTGCATTCAGATCTCCTCCTAGACCAGGCGTCCTACTGACATGGGTAGGTGGAACATTTAGTAAAGGGAGTGGAAAGGGAAGAGAGACATACCCAAATTAAATCCTCAATTCATAGACTGTTGATGTTAAATATATAGCACAATCTCTTCTGCAGAGCAAAGATTTCAGAGCAGGATCTAATGAGCAACTGCCTTGCAGAAAAGTCAGCTCTGACCAAGTTATGAACTTGAAGCCTTAGGAACTGATATATTACTAAACTCAAACTACTGCTATCCATAATCTTACCCCTCCCTTGGAAATGGCCAAGCAATCCTGACAAAACAATTCCCCCTTTCCCTTCTCCCTTGGGCTGAATCTTGCTTGGGCTGAGCACTGATTCCAGACAACTTTGCTCTACTGTCAGTGCAAATCATCTCCAAGGGTGGACAGCTGGCTGGCTTCCTCAGCAAGCAGGCAGTGAAAAGCCCAAGCGTTTTTTTCTCAGCCTTCCAGCAGCAGGACCCAGCAACTTTCCCAATGAACCTCTCTCAAAGGTGTCTCTGTAACATATGCTCCAAAGACTACTGCGCTGTTAGAGTCTTGGATCCAAAATCTAATGCTGGGCTTTAAAATGCACAGTGAGGCATGAGTATAGATTCAGTGGGGTGGAAAATGTTAATTGCTTGAAAATCCCCTTGGTATGGCTCAGATTTGGGCACAAAAGGCTGCTCAGTTAGCTGGGAGTCTCACACCCACTGATGCTCCAACTCCTTGTTCTGATTAGTAAAGGCTGGCATGTGCATAACATTGACAATATTGACCAGTATAGTGCCTCTGGATTTGACTGTGGCCAGTTCTCTGGTGGGGTACCATTGAGTTGCCTCCAAAAAGGAGGCAAGGCCATGTCCCTGCCCCCTTTCTGCACTGGCCAGCAAAGCTGGAAGCTTGTGGAAAAAAGTGCACCCTCCTAAATGGTGTCTAAGTAACCACACCCAACTCATACAGACAAGCACTCTGGGAGGCCTGAAGATCATCACATTTACCCTGGGGGGGAAGGGGAACATTTCTGCAGAACCCAAACTAAATCTATCCATCCCTCTGGGAGGTAGAGACCGTGGGAAAATTGCCCTGACTTCTGTCTAATGCTGTTTGTTTCTATTAGCCTACAGACACTGTTCTCAAACAAAAACAATCAAAATATCTATACTTAGCAATAAACTATTGTAAATGATAGACGTATAAAGATAACATTTTTCTTAAAAGAGATGCAGTTTTATGAGACAGTAGATAAGAAATCCTCAATGATCCATGGGCTAGAAATAAATGTAATTCTGCCACTTCCACTGATTTTCAGATTCATAGGTACTATGGACAGATGAGGCCATTACATCAACTAGCCTGATTTCCTGTAGTACACTGGCAATTACGTATTACTTGGTTACCCTGTGTTGAGCGCAACAACCTGCATTTGACTAAAGCAGATCTTCCAGTAAAGCATCTGATCCCTATTTGAAGACATCAAGAAAATGGAGAATCCATCACTTCTGTGGGCAGTTTGTTCCAGTGGCTGATCATTACCCTCCCTGTTAAAACTTGATGTTTAATTTCCAATTTATATTAGTCTATATTAGACTTCTGCTTCCAACCACTGGCTTTTTATATTGTCTTTCTGTGCTAGATTAAAGAGTCCTTCAGTACTTGGTATCTTCTCCTTGTAAAGGTATTTTTATGTTGCAACTGAGTCACTTCTCAATCTTCTTTGTGATAAGCTAAATGGATTGAGCTCCAAGACTCACATTGTAAGACATTTTCTCCAGTCCTCAAATAATTTATTTTGCTCTTTTCTCCAGCTTGTCTAATTTCTCAGCATTTTTTAAAATCAGACACCAGAACTGGATATAATATTTCAACATCAATATCACTAATACTGCGCACAGAGGTAACAGCGTTCCCCTACCTACTCTCGGCTCCTCTGCTTCCACATTCAAAGAGTGTATTGGCCCTTTTTGCCATAGCACCACAGCAGAAGCTCATGTTGAGTTGCCAGTACACTATGACCTCTATATTTTCTTCAGAACCCCTACTGGGTACATATTCTGAAGGCAGGTCCTGCAGTGTTTGTTCCCAGAGGTATCATTTTGCACTTAGCTGCACTGAAAAAGCATTTTATTTGACCTGGCTCAGCTTATCAAATGATCTGAAGTGCCCTGTATGATTGCCCTGTTCTCAACATTATTTACAAACTCTACATCATTTACAAACTTCATCACCAATGATTAGCCATTGACTTTTGGATAACTCACGGAAATGAACACCCTCAGGCCTGATGCTCTATAACCCACTAGAAATGTTCATTTGGTAATGATTCTGCATTGATAATTTTTTTAAATAGTTAGAAGGCCAGCTGTTAATCTATTTTGTGTGTGCTTTATTGGCATGTGACACTACTAAATTTAGTCTGGATGTCATACAGCATTATGTCAAATGTCTCAAAAATATCTAAGCATGTCTATACATGCCTATGCATGCCTTTTATCAACCAAACTTGCAATAAATATGCCTTTCTGTACCCTAAAAAGAAGAATTGTAAATCTTCTCCTCCCTGCATGCACACATCATCCTTTACCTGGCTCGTGAAAATTGTAAGTGCATTTGCAGAAGTAGCACCATACCAAAAGGCCTAAAATACCTGCTTAATAATGTACTTTATAAACAGTGGGTATTGTTATTCCCATTAGGAAAGCTGAAGTCCAGGATAACTGCAATGGTGTGAAAGAAAGTCCATATTTCTTGGTTTCAACTCCCTTCTCAACTTTAAAGGTCATTGAACAGCTGATATTTGTGAAAGTGGGGAGTGTTTCCATGGCTTCTCTGCGGATGGCCGTCATGCAAAAAAACAACAACCCCAAAACAGGGAACAAACAAGCATGGTACTTACTGAAAGGATTAAGGCCTTGTCTTTTTCCCTGGGGGAAATTGCTACTGCTGCCTGCAAAATGCAAGAACAAAATTTAGTCACCACTGTGGTCAGTTTTTTGTACTTTTGAATGCTATGGTTAGGTTTAGGAGAACATGATGATTGTTCCCCTCATAACAACAGAAAATCATAACTGCAGGCAGAAGTGTAGCCAGGTTCTATGAAAAACTCCCTTAAACTAATGTGCATCTGTCTCTGCCAAGCCATCCCAGTCTTGGCTTGCAGTAACTTTTGGAGTCAGACTACACTGGACTAAAGGTGTGACAGGTTAAACATCCTATATTGTGATGAATAAACCTCATAAAATCCAGAGGTTTAGTTTAGGCAAGAGCCAAAAGTTCTAGAAACTCCCTTGATACAATTAAGGCGAAGTTATATGTTACAATCAGACCATACTAAGGGCACTTAAAATGTGAGTGTCTGCATATTAAAGCTTATTAACTCTTGTTAAGTGCCCCCTGAGCATCCCACAGTTACACCACTTCAGGCGAGGGTTAACTCTGGCCTGTTCTAACATTTAGCCTATGTTAGGGTAGCTTCAGTCCGCTCCACAGAGATGAAACAAGCAATTTGAAGCCCTCCAGCATCCCAGGATGCACTGCTCCTGTCTGCCCCCCTCCTTTTCCCCAGCAGGTGTAGAGAGTTCAGGCTCCTAACCACACCCCTGTAAATCATTTCTCCAAACTAACAGCTTTATACGGAGCTCAGATAGCACGCACCAGGCATAGGATAAATAGTCCAACCTTACTGAATCCCTGCTGCCCTAAGCATACGTCACAATATTCATACACTTTCTTGGGGCCCAAAATCAGACACCCAAACTGACATTCAAAATTGAGTTCCCAAGATGCCAAGCATCTGCAAGTCTCAGGGGAGTGGCAGTGGCCCACCACTCTCGAAGCCCTGCCCAATTGTAGGTTTTAGGTGGCTGACTTTAAAAGATGTCACCTGCCTCCATCTGACAATTTTGGTGATTGGCTGATGTCAGGAAAATAGGCGCTTCCACTTCCAGTCAGAACCAGTAAGTGTGCTTCCAGATCCCATTCTGGCCTAGAGATGCAAATGACTGAGCTTAATTACCTGTATCAGTAACTCACACTCTTGCAGAAGGAGACTGAATCTAAAATATTAGATGCTGGCTGTGCAAGAGAGGGACAAGAGGGCATTTAGGAAGATGGAAGGCACGGAGGTCTAAAAGAGAACAAACAATATAATGGAGAAAAGAAACCAGGACAAAAGCATTCCCGTTCGTGGACCCTGCTTTGGGGGAGAGGGCAGGAAGGGAGGGGAGGAAAGAGAATCAATAAGATGGTGAAATTTAAGAGAGATTCCAAAATATAAATCTGTTGCTTTTTAAGTAAAAGGGGACATGTATACATATGCTGCTTAATTAAAAGGGGACATGTATATATATGATGAAAAATTTAAAGTAATTCCGAGTGCTAGTCATCCTTTCCTGAGAAACAGAAACTACAGTTAAGCTGTTTTGATGCCTGTGTATAAAAAGCACAGCTCCATTGCTGAAAGGTGGATTCTTCCAGAGCTAATTGGGGATCTTACCCAGAGTCCGGGAGGTAAAAATTCAGGATCTTTATGAGTTTCTCCATCCTTTAGCTTAGGCACAGGCACATATCCGGACTTTTCCAACTGGCTGCGAGCCCTGCAGCAGCCTCTAGAGGGTGCTGCTCAGTAACTGCAGTATTCTTGAGCTACTGAACTGTCTGAAATACTACTTTTTTCCTCTTCATGTTTTCCGTGCGTTTGAAAAGCAGACATTTCTATTTCCTCCCACCCCAGCAGCAAACATCACATTGCTGTAAAACAATGATATAACACATCCCTACCCTAGCACTATCACTAATGGAAGCCATCATACGCTGGCATCTCACAGCCACCAGACTGTTCATTCTATAACAGTAAGGAACCTTGTGCCCCCAAAGGAAGGTGCCTACCTTTCCACTTGCATCTGCTGAGCAAGAATGCAAAAGCCGAGCCCTCTTTCCCACTGCATTTGACTCTCAATACATCTTGCAAACATTTCTCTGCAAATCCCTATTAAGTATCCTACACTATCCATACTGGGTTGAAAGCAGCCTGCAGGCTGCTATCAGTAATTCTAAAAGGTTTTTTTCCCCTTAGACTTTTAAGCAGGTAAATCCTCCTCTTGGGTTAGTGGCACCTTGCACATGCAACAAGGAGGCAGTAAAGAACACTCTTTGCACCCAGACAATTCACTGAGTAGACTATTGATGATGTTTCTCCTGGAAACCCACTTGTCTTTGAATGATAATTGGAAAACTACAGCTAAACTGACACTATACATTTAACAAGACTGGCAGACTCAGTCCCAAGCACAAAAGATCTTTCTGCTATCTGTGCCAGGGGCAGGAATTTCTTAGGATTGGTCCAAGACAAATTCACCTGAGGACTAAGGACTTTCACACACCTCACCACCTTTCACAACAAATGCATGCTGTCTTTGCTGTGCCTTCCCTGACACACTATGGACACATGCTTAAAGAAAGCAAAACAAGGCAGAATGAACACAAGTGATGAGACAGACAGATGCACAGGCACCAGATATAAGTATCAAGCTGCTAGCGTATGATGGTGAGATGCTCAGGCATGCTGATGGTAAGATTGGGATAGGAAAGGGAACTTCCTCTCCCCCTCCGCACACACTCCAAGAGTTAACTGCATAAAGCAAAGTTCAGCATCACAAATTCACCTTTGGGACATCATTCTGTTCGCATTCACAAGTGAAATTGGACCAGGCTAGCTGGTTCTTGGATTGGAAGCTTTCAGTGAAAACCTGGTATACTTCAGTAGGTTGCACTCATTCCTCTGAATAATGAACAAATGCCCAACCATAAAGCAGAGACACTGTGTATAGCTAGACATGCTACATTTCAGATTGGATCTAAAGCTGATGTCCTGGTCAGCTCTGGTCGTTAATGACCCTCACCCCTGCCCCCGCCCCAAGGAGCTTTCTGCTAGCCTAAAGATGTTAAGCTCCATTATCCCCACCTGAACTCTGAAGTGGGTAACTGAACTAAGTGACTTATTCAATTAAAATACTCAGCATATTTAGATCTCCCTCTCTCGCCACTTGCCAATTATCTATAATCTGACTGATTTTTGCTAACTTGTTCATTAAGCAAAACCATGGAATGAATAATGTTTATAATCACGTTACAGATGCTACAATGATTGCCAACCATTCACCATGACAACCTGCTTTCTGTCATTCACAAGGTAGGAGCAGTCATCCAAGTGACATGCTGAGTCATCTTCTTCCAAACCCAAAGACCTTTTCTTAGATGGCCACCCAAGCATTCCCGCACAATCCTTTCAATATGAATTTACAAAAATATTCACAAGACTTTTTTCCTTTCCACAACTGTCCTGGAAGGACATTCACTCATGTCAATTTCTACAGAACATAACAAAGGGATCAGAAATATTGCCAAAGTCACAAGCTTTACAAGTACTTCCTTCTTTTTGCAGTGTTTGCTCAGCACCTACCTTCCTTCTTTTTGCAGTGTTTGCTCAGCTTCAGTAGATAATTACATGTTGCTTTTCTACCAATTCTCCCTGAAATTTTAATTAAACACTTCAATCCTGTTTCTAAAATTCCCCATTGACAGGTGGCAGTTAGCACGAGTCTTGCTCATGCCTAGTCCCCCTCTCTAAGATCACTAGGCACCAATTTGTCTTGAATTCTGTAACTTTCCATCAGAGCTCTGCAGCTTGTCTGCCTCCTCCAAAGGACTCCATCTTTTGACCAGTGAGTACAGTCACAATTGGCCTTTGACCAGAAAGTGTTTCTACACTCCAGCTTTGCTGTGCAGAATCCATTGGTGAATGCTGACTTTATCTGGTTGGGAATCAGTTTGGGTTCCTTCCACACACCCTAGTCAGACACACCTGGATCTACTGAGAGGGGATGCTTTCCTTGCCAGGCTCCAATCACACCCTGAACCACCCTTCTTCCCTTGTTTTAGGGAACTATTTGCAGGATCAGCAAACATCTTGGCTGGTTCCTAGGTACCTCTCCATCCTGATTTCCAGGAATGGTACGTCTCCAGAGTTGTCCTAGAGGGGCTTATGGATGATATTTTAGCAAGCCAATAGCAGGACCAGAGAAAAGAGACCCTACTTGTTGGAGTCTATGATGAGTTCCTTGGTACTACTGGGGATGGGGGAAGAATGTAATTGTGGACAGGTTCAGATGGAAATCACTGAGAAGGTGATTAGCTACAGGTACTAAAAGGATGTTGGGGGCTAGGGAAAAGGATGGAAATACAGTATGTACCTCAGCCAGGTTTGATGCATGAATACCACACAGTCTACAGGAGTGGATCCAGAGGGATGCACTGGTGCAGTTGCACCCCCCTTTGACTCCTGCTCCATCCAAAGTTTAAAACTAACTGCTTGGTAGTGGCAGCAACATTTCTAGTTAGACACTGTTGAGGGAATCAAATGTCTTCATGGCTCATCATCATCAACCTGATCTCTTCTAAACTCTGCCTTCCACAGTTGTTGATGATGCTCTCTCCTTCTTTATGGATGATAGTCTACCAAATCAAGTCATCTTTGATCTGCAGTTCTGCTGTTTGTTAGCTGCTCCTGGTAATAAAGCTTCTATTTTACAGCCCTGCAGACTGTTTATAACTCATTCCGATTAAGTTATATTTGTATAACTTCAGTCTTAAACTGAAAAATACTCTAGGACCCTAGCATATTAGTTTATTTTTAACTGGAGAACAATGTGTGTTGTTTTATGTGTGTTGACGCACCTCACCATCTGCACCCCCCTTTTCAAAATTCTAGATCCACCTATGGCAGTCCATCACTGTTATGGGACACAGAGGGTGGGTGTTAGGGGAGTGTTGATTTTCATATGGAAAGACTTAAGTAGAATAGAAGCAAAGCCAATCTACCTCACTGTCTCACAAATCCCTTGCTGCTTTACAAAGCTGGGTTTGTCTAATGCCACCTCTTGAAAAACATAAAAGAAGAGAAAAGAACTGGAAGAGGAAGATTCAGTGTTTCAGTCTCAGCTCACTACTTCCCTCAGGTCACTCTCAAGAGCTTAGTGTTGGGTCTCCATCCTTATTCTCCCACAAGCCTCCCCCTGTACTACTTGTGCATTCCTTTTTGATCCCTGGGGCCAGGCTAGTCTCGAGGAGGCATGCCGAGTTGTGTGACAGAACAAGGTCGGAGCCCTGTTTTGTATACACAGACTCTTCCTCATGCAGGGAAGGAAGCCACAGAAAGGTCAGGCTGTGCTCTGAGCAAGTATTGCTTGGCAGTCACACACTTACAACAATAAGTCTGCGTTTTCTGGTCATTGCTTTATTTTCCCCTCATCTTTGGCAGAGCAAAGATGCTCTTGTTTTATTCCTTCCTTCGTTGTCTTATGTATTTTCATAAACTAAAGCCTTGAAGAGCCAGTTGGCTTGGGCAGCAGATTCCAGCAAGTCTCACTCCAAGCCAGATCACAGTAAAACTCATTTGGCACATTAATCTTAGTAGGAAGGTAATAAAATTAAGGGATACAGGCACTATTATTGTATATTTTTCCACAGTAAGATACTGGTGACTAAGGAAAAGCTTTCATTAAACTAGGGAAGCTGGCTCTTCTCTAACTGCTGACCACGGATGTGAAGGCTTAAATTAATGAATGTTTGCAAAGCTCACAAAAACATGTAACGTGCTAGCAACCAAATGCAACCAGCCCCCACCCCCACTGGTGTGAAAAGTAGAGCAAATGAGCTTTTCACATGGCATGTACAATGTGTTGATTGGGGTGGGGGGCAGGGAGGGAGAGCCCTCTCCAATCCATCCCACACAGCCTAAGGGACCAGCTCACCGACCGTAGTTGTAGTCAAGGATCTCAGCTGACTACACACCAAGTTAGCTCTACAACATGTTCTGTGGCGACTCCTGCCAGCCATACTCCTTTTTTGCCCCAGTCACCTCTGGGCTATAGTCCCTCCACTCACTCTCACCCAATAAATACTGAAATATTTGTATACAAAATGAAACAGCTTCAACACCTGTGCCACAGATACCAACCCCAGAATGACCTATAGCCCAGTGGCTAGGGCACTTCTCCTGGGAGGTTCAAGAGGCTGGAATCCATGTCAGCCCTAGAGATGATCCAACTATGGGCCTCTCACATCCCAGGGAAGCATCCTCACCATTAGAGTCAAATGAAAGGAAGGTATCATCACAAGAATCACCATACTCTTCTTCATCCTGGTTTCTGTTTGTTTTTTGTTTGGGGGCTTTGTTTTGTTGTTTTTGCTCTACTCTAGCCCTTTGGCTTTTACCAGTGACTGAATACAACTTATGTTTGTATTAAACATTTTCCATTTGCCAAAACCCCCAAATTTAGGTTTGGGGCCAATCCAAAAGTCACCTCTTTGCAGGCCTCTCATTCCGCCAGTCTTTAATTGCCATTCTCTTTTAGAAAACAGTGGTGGTGTAACACTATGCTGTCTGTCTTTCTCACTTGCTCATTTCCCTGTGAGTACTTATTCTCTTGCATGCTGACTTTTGTGACTTAAATAAATTTTGCTCCTGTTAGAATTGCATAATGAATCATAAGCTTGGGATCACAGAGTATCATTGACAGTACTTTTCCAAGAAGGAACCCAACTGGAACTGCATGCTGGGCTCCGGAGAAGAACAACTCTCTTTGCTCTATGGACATGCAGCTCCTATCACACAATAGGGTCCTAGTAGACACTAGGGGCTCCTAGGTGGTACCACAGCACAAACAAAATAATAGTAATAAACCAAGAACAAAGAATGTTTGCAAAGCTGAATGCTAGTAAAGCACACCTTTTCTCTTGCAAACTAAGTAATAAAGCTCCAATCACGGGGAAAACAAGCAGGTACTGCTTTAACTCAGTCTAGTTATATTGCTCTGTGGAGCATTGCTTCCACTCAGAAGCAAAAAGTCACCCACCTCCTTCCTTGCTGACTCCCAAACACCCCTTCAGCTCTTGCAGTGAAATAGATTTGTCCTTGTTGATGTCGCAGTAGTCAGTGAAGCGTCGAGCACATTTCTTGGGCTTGGCTTTCTTTTTCACGTAACGCTTGAAAGGCTTCAGCTCCCGCTTGTTGATGTCATTGCTGCTGTTGTTGTCCAGCTGGCTGAAGTACCAATGCACCACTCGCTCCTCTAGTGTGTGGCTGGGGTCTGGCTCGGAGAACCTGGAATTCAGAACACACAATCCCCCAAGCAAAAGGTGATGCTCTTATTAAAGTCTGTAAGTAGCTGCTGTCTCACCATTACCTGTTTGCCTTACTGAGCCTATGGGATTATCATACTCTGCTTCCCATGGCCAGAGGAAGCCGATTCCTGGTCAGTAAGGTATTACATAAGCAGGGTACAGGCAGCAAGGGACCTTTTGTCACCAGAGGTCCCTGAAACCTCCTTTTGCCTATTTTGAATGAGGCATATATAATCTTTTGAAAAAGAAAGATTGGATTTTAACATGAGTGGGAGGTACTAGCGAAGCTCTAAAAACCAATATTCTCTCAGCATCCACAGAGCAGGTGCAAGGGAAAGATTTCCTGGACACTTCCTATCAGTCGTTGTGCCTCAGCCTGACCCTGCAGGGATCTCCTCCAACCCAGTCTCCATGGCCCATTCTGCCTTTGGTTTCCCCACTGGGACTTGATAACAAGGGGCATAATCAGTACCGAGTTTCACAATAGTTCCTGTTATTCTAGGACCTGAATATTAGGAATGGGAACATATTTGCTTACCGCAAGATCCATTTATTGATTGCTTGAAAAGGGTTTTGGCAGAATGTGACAATTTTGCTACATTTATTTACAATGTAAAGGGTCGGCTCATGTATTTGCATGCTTTAATTGCTTTCACAAAGCTGATTAAAGGCACCAAGATTAAAGGCTGCAACAGCCAGATGACAAATCCATTTATGAGTAATAATGAGAAAATAAACTGGTTTTGCCTCACTTTAAACCCATTCTATTAACAACTTGACTTGCACTACTGTGTTCCTGGAGGCAGATTAAAACTAAGATTATAGCTTTCGCTTTCTGCACCTACCTCTCCCTCATGAATACAGCTGACCCCTGAAAGTAGGTGATAGACAGCAACCAGACATGTGCTGCATGCTGTCACACTCATTGCTTCACCTCTGACTTACTGCTGGAAGACAACCTTAGGATGCACTGAGCAGATTCCAAAGAACCCAAATCAATCCTTTATTAAGAGCAGGGGTGTCTGCGTTAAATCAGATCCCAAAGTAAGTTACCGGCAGTCTGGTGCTGGGGGCAGACTAAACACTAACATTCAAGTTCTCTGTGGGTGGATCTTCCAAACCCATTTCAGATGCAGGTTCAGAGACCAGCAGCCTTCTCTATACCAGGGTATATTTTAAAATGGGTCAGGATGCCATATTCTTTGTTGGGCAGGTAGGGGACAGATTGGAGAGCTATACTTCAGGACTTCCAGCCCAATCAACATCCTTTTAAGCAGCAGAGCCTCTTGTTAAAATAAATGAAAAACAGAATCCTACACTGATCTCTGCTTCAATCAAAACTATAAGTTTGCAAGATGGTGCAAAGGACAAGGCAAGGGTGGTCACAGGCATGCTTCTCAGGCAGCTTTACAAATAAGAACATATTTATAAAGATGGCCCGGGCCCAGCGACATCTGGAAGTCTGACATAATAAAGACAAACAAACCTTAAAACCTGGAGAGAGGAAAATAAACCACAAAGCCTATTTTGAAAAGTTTATTCGACAGTTTCTTCTGCATTATTTAATTCTTGGGTGAGTTACAGACTGGCACCCAGAGTGACAGCAGCTGGTTGGCGTGTGCTAGAATGCACACCTGCAATGGGCATGCTTGGCTTGGGTCTGGGAGCCAGAATGCAAGCTGAACTGTTGGAGCCACCTACAGGCAAATGGAAAAGGGAGCACGTTGCTTTGCAAAGGCAAGGCTCTCTGGATTTTTCAGAGCCCTGAAACCCTGTACAAGGAACAGGCCAACAGGGAAGGATAAAATGCACCCTGAACCATCTTGAGACTTGAGCTAGAGCAGCATTCTTTAACTCAGTCATTGGCATCTTTTCCCTTTTGGAAAGTTGCTGGCTATCAGCTGAGGCCTGGCTGATTCCCAGGGGCATGAGGGGAATGTGCTGTGTAAGAGGGGCTTTTTATGGGAATATGGAGTTGTGTTAAGATTTGTGACCGGAACGAGTACTATCCAGACTTACCTCCTTCCAGCAAGATCCCTTTTATTACCCAACTGAATCCAACCCTTTCCCTTCTCTCTGCTCATTTCTCAATCTTTTCTTAAAGCCTAGGGCTACTGGGGATAAGGTGGATGGTGTCAGAAAAAGGAGAGTGGGGAGAACAAAGGCACAGAAGTCAGAGCAGTAGCTGAAGGGGTAAGTAGGGAATGAAATGTTCTCTGCTTGTTGGTGGGACAACTTGTAGCACTCAGGTGCAGAGGTAGGGGCATGGGAATAATTTCACACTGCTCAGTGGATATAGAAAGAATGGTCAAGAAGCTGGGTGGAGGGAAGGGCAGGGGGAGGAAAGAAAGGAGAGGGCGAATTGAAATATTATCATCTTCAGCAGTTCTATAAAAGGTACCAGGGATAGGAGTAGTCTTTACAATTCTAAAGGTTAATATAAATGCACAAACCCATGCAGCTATGACAAATCAAATACTAGTGTCCCAGCAAGCTTGGGTGGTTCTACCAAAGAAAACCCAATTGCAGCATAGTAGTGGCAGAGGCAAAGCCAGGAGAAGTAACTTAAACCTTGAAAGTAGAAAGAGAAGATGTAGTTTGTACTGCTTTTTAGCCCTGCCTTGTGACTGTCTGTATAGTGCTGTACTTCCAGGAGGTGCTCACCTGTGGTTGTTGACTGCAAAGATCAAGGCTAGTTTTAAGAAAAGCATAGAGCAGGAGAGAGGCCTGAGGGCACAAACATCCAGGGAAACATTGGATGCTACAATTAGTTTGCTATGACATTAAATGCAGAGATCAGAATTGAGACACAGTACCTTCATGTCAAAAGGCTCCTTCTGCATCCATGCAACAAGATACACATGCTTTCACATCATTGCTATGCTACCCTGTTCTGATGCTGTATTGTGAGGTAATTTGACTATACTGCAACAGCTGGAATATATCTGAGGCTGTAACTGACCTCCAAGCATGAGACTTGCACGACTTTGGACAGACTTGGAAATTTCCAAAGGAAGTCCATTCTACTGCCCCTGTAGTACCGCTATTTAAAATGATAAATTAATTAAAAGGACCTTAAACCAGAGCTTGAAGTCAAATGCCTTTACTGATCTGTCTTCTCCCTGATCCACTCCATCCACAAATAGGAAAGACTGAGTGAGAGCAAAATCAGCTGCTCAGTATGTTGTTACTGTCTCCCAGCATGATAGCATCTCCTGCTAACACCAACCACATGAAAGGCCCAGTGGACAGCTTGGGCAAGACCAAACAAAAATAAGACTATATCAAAAACTAAAACCAGACAAATCAGGCACGCAGTCCAGGAGGGCTCCTCAGCCTTCTCTCGTTGGCCACATTAGAACTGTATTTGCCTTTCTTTTAACTGTGCTCTTTAAGGCTCCGTGGTAAAACACCCCAAGAGAGAGATGGGTAATAATTTAGAGAAACAAAAATAAAACTTCAGCTGCTCCCTTACTCTCACCCACAATTAAGTCATCCAAAGAAGTCTCTTAAGAGAGGGAGATGGATTTATGTCATAACTGGAGGGCTAGAGGGAAGGAAGAGGTAAATTAGTAGATCCCACAGAAATCACATAGACTGGGCTAATACAAATGTAGAGTATATCTGTCTACAGACTACAGTACAACACAGCGCAAGCTAGCTCAAGTACTGGAAGCAGCCTCACTGTGGCCATATAGGCTAATTCACCCGAGTCCAGACTTCCATGGCTAGACTGTTTTCCATATCTGACCTAGCAAGATATCTGCACTGTGCTGCCAGACAGGGAACTGGGACTCCAAGGCTCCATACTCAGCTCTCCCATCAGCTTCATCCACTGTAGGGAACCATACAAATCATTTTCCTTGGCAAGGCCTTAGCTTCTCCATCTGCAAAATGGGAAGAGTGTTTCTCTGAGAGGTGGAATGCTTAAATTTGTTAGCTTGCAAAATACTTGAAGATACCAGAGTGAAAGTGCAAAGCGTTAGTTTAATAATCATTTTCATATTTCCATAGGCTGCTTTGATACTGTTGGGTGCAACTGGCACACAGGCAAGAAAAGCAAGAGGTTATACAAGTACAGGCAGGTGTGTTTTAAGTGCATGTACTGAATTCTGAAGCACAGCGGGCAGGAGTACCCTGAAGATTTCAAAAGGACGGATTTCCTGTACAGATGCCTGTGCACAACTTGAGACATTTTTAAGCTCCTAAGATCAAAAGCTGTCCTGCTACCAAGATGGAAACAGTTAACATGGTTATGAGGAGTAAAGATGAGGAGAACAACTGCATTCATTTGTTGCAGGCAGGACTACACCTGCACTGATTCACCCTGTGTGCAATCTTATATTCCGCAGGATCACAGTGGATGTAAACCAGAGCACAGCATACACCTCAGCAACTGCAAAGGGAGCATGTAACTAGTAAATCAAAATCTGTGCCTGAAGTGGCTGATCTCTTCTTTCCTACTCCTTAGCAGCTTCTCCAGCACCTCCAAAGATAGGTAGGACAGATGCACAGCATAACTACTGCATGGGTGGTGGTTAGATAAAGGCTTACTATGGTAATGTTAGCATAAGCCATGATCAAGAAGAAATGCTCCTTCTTATTATCATGGGAAATCACATGCACACATGCACAAAAAGTACAATTTAAAAGGCATGTGCACTTCAGAGTACATGGCCTATCCCTCACTGAAACCACTGAGAAACCTCCCATTTTCTGAGTCAAACTTTGTGCAGCAATGATAGCTGCTTAGGATGGAAGGATGAGGCTAATTCAGCACCACAAAATTCAAGGATGTAAGGAGGAAAACAGTCTACGAATCATAAACCAAAGGAAGTTACTGCAGTCCTGTGCAAGCTGGGGGGGAAGAAATAGTAAGGAATGAAAAGCTGCTGATGGAGTTAGAGGAAGAACAAGAAATTAACTTTACTTGGCTTTGCCCCTTCAAAGGGTGCGCACAGCCATCAGAAGGTTTTCAGG